GTTTTATATTGGCCTTGAAATACAAGACATACCTTTCTACCTTGTTTAAGCCATTGTTATTTTGAGCTAACACAACCTTACATATAAGTATTACTTGCTTAAAGCAAAAACTGAAAATAATTCAGGCATTACATAAAGTATAGAGTCTCCTGCCTCACACATACTGCTACCAACACAATATGTTGACATATATGCAAGATAGAGATACTTTTGAAAAAGGGAGAGAAGATAATGTGATAGGAATTATTTTCACATTGTTATACAGTTTAATTTTGTACATCTAACAGCAGATTGTAGATATTTTTCTAAGTTAGTTTTTGTGAAATTTTATTTTTCATAGTAAATCCTCTACAGAGAACATGTTGTTTAAAGAGTTATATGCACTTAAAACTGAAAGATGGCCTCCAAAAATGTTCTATCAATTACTTTCCCACTACTGCTATATTTTCCTAAAAAATTCTTTTTTATTTTAAAAAAAAAAAAATTTCTACTTATTTTAACTTTTTTTTGACTACTTAAAAAGGCTAGAACTTTTCCATGTTTATATACCATTTGTCTTTTTTTTCAGTGAGTTTTCTCTTTTGCTCAACTTATTTAAAAAAAAATATTTTATAGGCCAAGGCTACAAATTGGGTACAGTGTATACTGCTCAAGGGATGGGTGCACCAAAATCTCACAAATCGACATTAAAGAACTTACTCATGGAACCAAACACCACTTGTTCCTCAGTAACTTACAGAAATAAAAAACAAAAATAAAATAAATATTTTATAGGAATTCTCTGAGTATTATGCATTTTTGGGTACTAGCTCACTCTGTGTTATAGGTAAAAATATTTTCTCCCATTCTGACTCATAACAAACAATAAATGCTAGTTGTTATTTTATGAAGATAAACTTTAACGTCATGTTATCAAATTTTTCAAGGCTCACATTAATATTCTTACTAGAATTATAGTAACTTTTGGGAAGTCTGACAGCAGCTTTACAATACTAAGTCTTCCCATTTGGAAACATGGTATGTCCCAATTTATTTACAAATGTTTTTCGTTTTCTTCACATAAGTCATACACACTTACACATTTACATTTCTTGTGATGGTTAATTCCTGAATATTTTATAATTTTAGATGCTACTGTAACTGATTTGCCTATTTTTCGACTGTTTTCAGTTTATATAACTGTGTTTACCAATTATATAATTCTTGATTAAAACAGTTCTAAGTTTTCTAAGTTTATTCTCTTAGATTTTTATGTTTGATTGCAAACACATTCTATCACATCCAAATAATAATAATCTTACCTCTTTTCCCCAATATTTATATCTGTTGTTTTTATCATATTGTACTACCAAATGAGATATCTGCATTTAGTATAGCTACTGTATTAAACCAAATGTAATTGTATATTTACATATTTCATATGTAAGCATATAAAAGAAATATTCAAACTTTCTTTCAGGTTACTAAGTAGGTCAATATTTCCACCTGAACAGTAAAGTGTCAGATCTCAGAATTTATAGCGCTACATGCTTGGGGAAAAAAAAGGTAAATTTTTGTTTCTATGCTATTCTTAAAATGTTCTTCGCAATTCATTTTTTCACCTGCACATTCATTTACAAGTATGTAATCAAACATTATCAAAATTTAAAAAAAATAGCAGATGCATCTTGGCATGAATAAATTAGGAGACTTGGAAAAACAGAACTGTGGGTGTTGTGGTTCAGTAATTAGAAAAAAATCAAATGACTAATAATAATCAAGCAGAATTTGTGTGGAATTCAGACTTGAAACTGAAAACTTGCGACATAAGAATTTAATTATTTTCTAACCTTCTTTTACTTTAGGACCTAACTGGCATCCAACAGTAATTACCTTAGCTTAAAACACCAACCAATTAAAAAGAATACTATGAAGAATTGGTAGCATGGGCCTTTCTTTTTATATTTTAAGTGTTACTAAAAAAACCCACCGTATTTCTTTCAATCACAGAGGGAATTACATTCCCAAATTTGGACTCTTTCATATCACAGCTTACACATTGTTTTCATTTTATAACCAAACCTTACAAGTTTTTGAGTACTACAGAGATTTTTTAAAACTGTAAAATAGGAAAAACTTCTGTAGATGGGCAGCAGTAACCATAAATAGGTTATTTCCTGGCAGTGGTACCAATACAAATTTACTTAAACGTGTAATGTTACAGAGAAATGAAAACCATTCCTACAGTCTGCTGAATAATTACTTAAGTCATAACTTTTTTACTTATAAAAGGTTAACTATTTAAAATATGGTAAGTGATTTATTTCTCTTTATCTAATCTCCACAGCATGAAAGCATACACTAGAAAGATAAGAAATATTTTCCCTACGATCTAGCACTAATGGGGATTTCCAGTTGAAACACTATCATCAGGGCATACTTTTCAAAGCCAACCCTAATTCTGCTGGGATTTCATTTGCATGGGCCCATCAACTTTATTTTAAAGCTTAGTTCTCTCAAGTCTTCTTGTTACACTTGGTAAATTTTATACACTGTCTCTTGGATAAAATATATTTTTAAGATGTATTTATTTTTAAAAGGGAAATATTACGTTTTGGTGTAATAACTAACAACAATCTTAACTATGATCCTGAAATCTTGAGCTCTAACCCTTACCATTAATTCCTAGTCCCACATTTCTAATTGCTTCCTTAAAAATAAACTCTTTACCTCCTTCCTCAATCCTTCTATTTGTACCTAAATTGAAAATGCTAGTGGTACTACCATACTACTGGTCACCCAGTCAGGAAACTTTGAATTCCTCTTTGATTCCTCCTCCTGCTTTTACTTCGTCTATCCAACCAGTACCATGCTTTATTTATTTGCCTATTGATACCTCCATTCCCACTGCTACCATGGTAATAATACAGACTCTTCGTATCTTTTGTTTGGGTAGTAGCAAGCTCCTCTCAAACAGACTCTCCATTTCAAATCTTCTCTTACAGCATTCCTTCTATACTGTTGTGAAATTATGTTTCTAAAGTCAGGTTCTAAGCATATCATGCCTCTGATCAAAAATAACTCTCAGGCCAGGCACGGTGGCTCACTCCTGTAATCCCAGCACTTTGGGAGGCCAAGGCGGGTCGATAACCTGAGGTCAGGAGTTTGAGACCAGCCATGGACAACATGGTGAAACTCCGTCTCTACTAAAAGATATAAAAATTAGCCAGGTGTTGCAGCGGGCACCTGTAATCCCAGCTACTTGGGAGGCTGAGGCAGAATAATCTCTTGAACCCAGGAGACAGATGTTGCAGTGAGCCGAGATCGCACCACTATACTCCAGTCTGGGTGACAGAGCAAGATTCCATCTCACAAAACAAACAAAACAAAAAACTCCTCAAAAAAACCTCTTATCCTGACATCCCAAGTGCTGTTATTTGACTTCAAAAACTTTTTAAAACTTAATTCCCCACTGTTCACCCTCAGGTACTATGCATACTAGCCAAGCATATTGTTTCCTAAACATGTCCTGTGTGTTGTTTTCTCCCCAACACCTCCCCACCCACCCTGCTCCACCCAAACCTCACATTCCTGGTAACCACAATTCTACTCTCTACTTCCATGAGTTCAACTTTTTTAGATTTCACATATAAGTGAGATGATGTGGTACTTGGCTTTCAATACCTGGCTTATTTCACTTAAAATAATGCCTTTCAGGTTTATCCATGTTGTCATAAATGACAGGATTTCCTTTTCTTTAATGGCTGAATAGTATTCCATTGTATGTATATCTATATACCACATCTTCTTTATTCTTCTGTTGATTGACACTTAGGTTGACTCCATATCTTGGGTACTATGAATAATGCTCCAATGAACATGGGAGTATATACATCTCTTCAACATACTGATTTCATTTCCTTTGGATGTACAACCAGTGGTGGGATTGCGGGATCTGTTCTATGCCTTTTCTATCTCCTAGCCCTTGCCTGTGATGTTTATTTTGCCTAGGGTAACATTTCTTTGTATGTTCAAGCCTTATTTATGCTTTAAGGCCTAGTTCGATTGTTGTTTATCTGTAAGACAGCAACCTGAATGTTGGCCAGCTTCAAAGTCAGAGCCTCTGAACTCCTACAGGGCTTCCCATGGTCTTCTCTATGGTAGTATTTCCTAATGTCTAATTTCAAGAGTGTACAAATCTCCTGGAGAACTTGTTAAAGTGTAGATTTTGAGCCAGTAGGTCTGAAAGTCTGCATTTCTAACAAGATCCTAGGTGATGCTGATATAGCTGGTCTGTGGACAATCTGAATATGAAGGTGTTATGGTACAGACTGATTTTTAACTAATGCGCTGATTATTTAGAAGCTTGTCTAACTGTTCCTGTTTTCCTATAAATAAAGCAAGGATTCATTTTTTTACTATAACTTGTATAAGAGATGTTCAATAAATATTTGTTAATGTAACATTGCATAATGTATAAATGTGTATTTTCAGATTGCAGGTTTTCAACCCATTAATGAGTTGCAATCCATATGTATACATGTATGATATGCCTGGCACATTCGATTTTTAATAAATAATTATTAAATGAAAAATAGAAACATTCATAATATAAATTATACACAGCAAGTAGTAAGTGCTGTTAATCGTTATCTATATCCCCTTACTCCCTGTCCCCTTCAAGAAAAACATACCTTAAATAATGAAGAGATTTCAAATATGCAACTGTATTACATGGTCTTCAACAGGAGTTGAAAAACTATAGCCCATGGGACAAATCTGGCTAGCTGCTTGTTTTAATAGAACCCAAACACATTCATTCCTTTACATATTGTGTAAGGGTGCCTTTGCATTACAAAGGCAAGGGTGAGTAGTTGCAGACCAGATGAACTGCTAAGCAAATATTTACTATTTTATTTACAAAAAAGGCTTCTCTATTTTTAATTACTTATACAATGCTTGGCATCTAATCATATGTATTCCAAAGATTATAAAGAACAAATGGTGGAAGTAACTTTTACCTTATTGTAATTCTTGGCTAATTCTAACATCTCTTTTACCACTGATTCATTGTGTTTACAGTGTTCACTGTAGTCCTGAAGTGTCAAACCTTCCATCCAACTCTTCTTATGCAAATTTAGCAACATCTAAAAAATAAAGAAAAAGTAATTATTTTTCTGCCTTGAGGATACCCCCTTCATTGTCTAGAGAAAAAAAAAATTTTTTTTGACTTAATGATTTAAATTTAACTTTATTAATGCAAATAAACTCCAATTAGAATGCTCCTGTATTTATATTAATATAACTTAAGGAGTACTCCAACACCAAGGCCTTTGCATTTGCTGTCCTTCTACCTAGAAGACTATTCTCATCTTTGCATAACTTGCCTTCCTCTCTTCCTTACAGATAGATGTCTTCCCTAACAATACTATACCTAAAATAGTCGCACTACACTACCTTAAACAAAATCAAAATCTTTCTTTCCTTAACCTGCTGTATTACTTGTATAACGCTTACAAAGACCTGAAATTTTTGTTTACTTGTTTACTGCATTTCTCTCCCACTAAAGGGAAATCAAGAAGGCAGGGATTTTGCCCTATTCATTTCAAGACCACTAGGGTCTATATTCTAGAACAATATCTAATAATAGCTCAATAAACATCTGATGAATGAATGACATTCATATTAATATTACACAAAGTATCTCTAATTTTTCATATAGCCTAGCTTTTCAATGCCAAGATAACGAGATAAATGCCCTATTTACTGAGTGACCTTGTGTCAATCTTTCTGATCCTCAGTTTAGAGATCTATGAATTAAGGGCTTGTATTAGGTAATCTCAAAGTTTCCTTCACATTCTGGTATTCCATCTATAACTTCCTTATTGTCAGGATGAAAAGCCATGAAGCTGAGAATAAAAGATTTATCTAGGCTGGGCACAGTGGCTCATGCCTGTAATCCCAGCACTTTGGGAAGTCAAGGTGGGCGAATCAGTTGAGGTCAGCAATTCAAGACCAGCCTGGTTAAAATGGTGAAAGCCCCACACCGGGTCCTATTGTGGGGAGGGGGAAGAGGGGAAGGATAGCATTAGGAGATATACCTAATGTAAATGACGAGTTAATGGGTGCAGCACACCAACATGGCACATGTATACATATGTAACAAACCTGCACATTGTGCACATGTACCCTAGAACTTAAAGTATAATAAAAAAAAAAAAGGCGTTCTTGAACCACAAACAACAGCATGAGCCATCTGTGCCTTAAGGACATGCTCCTGCTGCAGATAACTAGCCAAGCCCATCCCTTTATTTTAGCCCATCCCTTCATTTCCTATAAGGGATACTTTTAGTTAATCGAACATCTGTAGAAACAATGCTAATGACTGGCTTGCTGTTAATAAATACGTGGGCAAATCTCTGTTCATGGCTCTCAGCTCTGAAGGCTGTGAGACCCCTGATCTCCCACTTCATACCTCTAAAACAAACAAACCAAAAAAAATGGTGAAAGCCCGTCGCTACTAAAAACACAAAAATTAGCTGGGTGTGGTGGCACACGCCTGTAATCTCAGCTACTTGGGAGGCTGAGGCAGAAGAATCACTTGGACCCGGGAGATGGAGGTTGCAGTGAGCTGAGATCACGCCACTACACTCCAGCCTGGGTGACAGAGTGAGTGAGACTCCAAAAAAAAAAAAAAAAAAAAAAAAACACTCATGTGCTATCACACCAGCAAATTGGGGTTGGACCCTATATTAGTGATCATGAAACTAAACACCTTAGTTCAGCGTTTCTCAAATTGGACTTACAATTCTGAGTACTTATTCTTAGAAGTTTTTAAGTTTTCAAGTTTATATTTTAAGACAGTTTTTCTTAAAGTCCTACCCTACAAATTTTCTTCAATTGAGGACTATCATTAAATAAGTTTTCCCCTTTGGATGATTCACAAAACTGTGAAAAGTAAAAGAAAAAAAATGATGGCTATAAAATGATTGTTGTTTTGTCAATAGAACCGTTATACTTTAAATGAGATCCCTGACCCATGAGAATCTGAAGATGTACTTGGAGATATATGGGGGTTTAGTTTAGAAAAATTATCCTACTTGCTTAGAAGTTTACAGCTATTTGTGGTACAAATTTTATCGTATATTGGAAAATAAGCTGCCTGTCAAAATCACCTATAAGGCTTTTCAAGATACAAAACTCCTCCATTCCCTTCCTTTGGTTCCAAAGGCACTAATTCTCCCATTTTCTTACTATGGCTCCAGGGGCAAAGAGAGTATGCCAAAAAAAATTAGGAAAACCCTCCACAGATGATTTGTTTCTTTGATTGCTTCCTAGCTTCTCCACTGATACCATTCTAGAAAATACATGTTTGAGAAATGTGGATGCTGCTACAACTACCTATGCTATATAGCCACTTATAATTAAGTGTTGAGACTTAAGATTTCCCTACCACTTCAAAAGCAAACAAAGACAGTTCCCAAGGAGCAGCAGGATATTCCTATCATACCTGGACAAGGATTCCCTTGAGACCCTCAAGTAAGGCTTGGGGTTAAATATACAAGTTGTCTGGATAAGAGTAAAGGCAGAGCTTTTGTTACCAAGAAGGCAGTTTAACAGCTAAACTGGGCTATTAAGAACATAAACATAACATTAAGTAATTTATGTAAGTGCTTATATATTTGCTGTTTATGCCAAGGAAAATGGCTAAGTTTATGAGATACTCCCCCAAAAAAGAGAAAGAAAAAATTGATGTAATTAGCTAGACATTTCCGAATAGATGGGTATCAGATAGCAGTCTGATAAAATATTTATATTCTGAATGAATTTTGTTTGTACCTGAGTGGTGCCATTTTTCACAGCCTGTACTCATTCCATGTAAAATTAAAAATAAGTGTTAAAAATATACTTAATCAACTAAATCTATCACAGCAGAAGTAAACTGTGGTACACAGGCAGGAATTAGAAGACAGCTTTATAGGATCCCCTCAGGCCAAGGGGGAAGTAGTCCCCCACTCCCCTCGCTCATTACATGCTCAAGCACTGGGCTCTTCAGATGAGTTTATAAGTGGATTTCACCTTTTAAAACTCTAGTTTATCAAACTTAAAAAAAACAAAATTAGAATTCTTATTTCAAAGAAAATCTTATATTGCATACCCTCCCCCCCCAGTATATAGATTAGATTAAAAATGGACGTGATCTGGTTGAAAGAGGGGGTAAGCGTGGAGAGCCCAGCTCACTCCATCCGCCACTTGCCATGTACCAGAATCCCCGTCTAAGACACCTTGGTGAGAAACAGTTTGGGCTAGATAGAATGATCTTATTTGCTACTGATTACTTATCACTTTCAGACTTGAGAGTGGTCTCACTAACCAAAACTTACTGGCTATCAATCAACAGTAAACTCAGTGTTCTTTTAAAAAATGCTTTTAACTTTCTCAGAGAGAAATACAAGAAACTAATTAGGTGGATGACTAATTGTAATAGTAAAGGGGGGGAAAGTGGTTCAGATTGTAATATCAAAAAACAACAGGCAGAGTTAAATACTTGGCATTAGTTGAGAGAAAAACTATACTAGAAATAATCCTAAAATTGTAGAAACAAATGAGAATGCTAATTCATCAAAATGTCAGGTAATGTTAAAAACTAATCAAACTTGAAAACTGGTATAAAATGGGATAAGAATCTAGTACAAATTATCTGAAAACCCTATAACTGTTTCTCTTTGACTCACTTTTAGTTTTCCTTAGAGTAAACATGGTATGTTTTCTAAAAGCACTAGGCTGGGTGCAATGGCTCATGCTAATGATCCCAGCACTTTAGAAGGCTGAGGTGAGAGGATCACTTGAGCACAGGAGTTCAAGACCAACCTGAGCAACAAAGCAAGAGTCCGTTTCTACCTCCCACCCACCACCCAAAAAACAGCCAGGTGTGGTGGTGCATACCGATAGTCCCAGCTACTCGTGAGGCTGTAGAGTGAGGATCCCTTGAACCTAAAAGTTTGAGGCTGCAGCGTGCCATGATCACACCATTGCACTGAAGTCTGGGAGACAGAACAAGACCCTCTCTCTTAAAACAAACAATCAAAAAGCATGACACAACTGCAATTTAAGTCATTCCTCTCAAATTTATAGAGCAATATATTTACTAATTTAATTACAAAAAGCCTTTTTCTTGAAGAAGATAAGTTAATCAGAAAATCACAGAACTAAAAGAAATATTTTTATGATTTATCATAAAACCAAAGTGGAGTGTTTGATTTATTTCCTACTTCCTCTCCCACTTCAGCACCTACCAATAAGGTAAAATGTGTTTTTAAATAGTCCAATAAAATATTCCTTTATTTTGTGCTGCAATTCATCAATAATGGAATAATATTTGGAAACACTGAAAGAGGTCAAAAATTCAAATTTAAATCACATTCCAGGTAATAGTTTAAATGGTTTGAAAAAGACTTTTTTCCTCCTATAAGATAAAAATTCAAACTTACCTTCTGTTCCAGTTCATTTTTCCGATAGTTAATAGTAATGGAGTAATAATGTCTGTTTAGTCCATGAATTAATGCCTATATAGATAAATGATTTTAAAAAGGACAAATTACTATTTTTCACCTAATAAAAATGTTTGAAACTGTTGATATTCTTACATAATACCTGTACCATCCTCTAATAAAGGCATTTTATTTTAAGTAAATTAAGACAAAATTAAAGTATTTTTCTTAGCTATAAGTTTAAACCTAAGGTTTAGAGGAATGGGTTACACATTCTTCAAAGCATGATATGGAGGAGCACAAATTAAGCAGTTTCAGTAGCCTTGCTCAGTCAGAGATAAGGTTTGATCTTATTGTAAGCTAAGTTTATAAATCATTCATAATTTATTAAATCTAACTTTATGATATCTAGGGGGCTCATGGGTATTTCAAATGAAAAGCCTAAAAAGCTACAATAACACAACTGTTTCTTTACCCACATTAATCTGGAGTTCCCCTTTTCCTCATTCAGTTATGATTGATTCAGATAATTATGTTATGCATGTCTCCAAATTAACAATGTGGATTTTGGTCTTTACTGGGTCTGTCTAGCTAATGCTCTTATCCAGTGACATGCAGTCTCACTAACCAGAATTTTTTTCACCTCACTCTATTTCCAAGGTGAACAGTCCAATCATAATAAAATCTTAAGCTAACGGCATGGCTTTATTAAGAAACAATAATCCTGGATGTCCTGAAATCAAATCACAACTGCCCCCATATCTAAGTCTAACAACAAGTGTTCAAATGAGGTTCAACAGTATTGTGGTGGACCTAAAGGACCCTCTGGCAGCCTAGAAAAACATGAAAGTACAGAAATACACCTTTAGGGATATTTTTAACAAGTATAAAAACAAAAAGGACTTTGGAGTTAACCCTCAGGAATCTAAAGACAAAAGCTAACCAAAATAATCACCACTTCTCTAACTAATGGACTTTTACAATGTAGGTCTTAAGATGTCACCGAGGTAGAGGAAGAAGGGGTAAAAAAGAGAACATTTAATGAGCAGCTAGTATCTGCTTTACACATTAAATCTTCTAATCTTCACACTACTATAAGGTAGGGCAATTCAATTTGTATTTTGACAGATGAAAATAAAATGCAGCATCAGGCTCAGTGGCTCAAGCCTGTAATCCCAGCACTGGATCACTTAAGCCCACCAGCCTGGACAACATAGCAAGACCCCATCTCTATAAAAAACAAAAACAACAAAAAAGAAAGAAAATAAGACACAAATAGTAATTTGTCCAAGTTTATAGCTAGTGAAAGGCTAGATGGGGATCTGAACCTAGGTCATTCTTATTCCATAGCCTATGTTCTTTCTAACATACTATGCTACAATACATGTCAGGAAATTCTTGGATTAAGACTATGTACTTTAAGGATCAGGATGAAACAAAGCATTATGTTAATTTTTAAGCTTTGCTAGCAAAAATCACTCCAATGAGTATGAAAATATTTTAGATGAGTACTTTAACAATAGATTCTTATTTTACCAATGTCTGTTATAAAAGTGAGCTATGAAATTCCATAGGAAGCAGTGACTGATTGTAAAGTACCAAGGGTATATATTAAATCCTTATTCATTTCAATAATCATCGGGAGCAATGAATTAAATTTTAGTGCATAAAAATGCTATTCTGTATAGACCAAAAAGTAGAAGTGATCAGGGCTTCCTTTAATCTGTGCTATTTGTGTACACTAGGAGATGAATCATCCTGGTAGAGAATTAGAAAAAGGTGCTCAGTCCTCTAAGCAGACATAGTCTGGCTGCAGACAGTGGAGCTTGAGCTGGAAGCTCCCTCATCCAAGCATGTTTGCGCAATGCACTCACTAATTGCACAACCCTACATGGTGGTCATAAAGCTAGTAACTGCTATAGCCAATACATACAGAAGCCAGTTGATGGACCCACAGATACTAGGCCCTATATTTTTGAGACTATCAAAATCAGATAGTCTCATTTTGATAGTCATGGTTCATGATAGTGACTCATGGGTTCCTGATAGTGACCACCAGCATGTGAGCTGATGGTTGTTATCAGACTTTTATCCCTATTACTTGAAAATCAATTTTTTAGATAAAAGCAATAAAACTAACACAGACAGCAAGAAAGATCAGCAGGTATAACAATAACAAAACAATGGTAAGTTTAAATCAAATAATATCCTCAAGTAGTCTTTCAATTTCACTTACTCACCTGCTGTGGTGCCTCCAGTGCCTTCCTCCCAAATCATAAGTCAACCAGCCATGTCCTTTTTGGGTTCATGTAGAACTACACACGACCAACTGACTTATGATTTTACCTCTATGCACTCACTGCTGTGGAAAAGCAGGCGCATTATAAAACACACAGTTTACGAATTATATATAAGCTACTCATGGGTTTCTGATAAGTTTTTAAAGTTTTCATGCTCCTTAAAAAGGTGTGCTTGGATCTAAAGACAAATTTGTTTGCCTTTATTTTATACTGATAAACTGAAAATACGGTGGTAACTGATATCCTTTAAATCACGTTCTAAAATGAAGCTTTCTGAATATAAATAGAATAACTGAAAAGAAACAAAATGTGTTTTGTGGTTCCCTCTAGAGTGGAGAACTGAGTTGCAGAAGGCGAAAGAGGAAGGGAGAGTTTTTGCTAAATGACTTTGTACTTTAAATTTTTTTTAACTGTATATATATTATCTATGCCAAAATTAATTAATTAAATTTCCAACGATAATATAAAAGAATGAAGCAATCTGGTTATGAGTACTAGTTCCTGCATTACCTCACTGGGCAACCTGGGCAACTCACCTTTATGGGCCTCAGGTTTCCTCATGTACGAAATGATTACAATGGCTCCTTTCTAGTGCAATTGTTTTATAACTTATATGTTCAGTAATTACTGATACAATGTTTTCCAAATAGCTTAACTCTATTAAACAATGCAACTGTACTCAACACTATACTTAGAGGCTCTTAGCCTTAGCACATGCATCTATGCATCAATATTTACTAAATTTCCATTAGACTGACTACCAATCTTGAAATTTACTGTGACACTTAAGAATCCAAAATGTCACTGAACAGTTTATAATGGAATAGTTTAAAAAATTTAGTCACTAAAATAAATGCTTGTTAACTCTCAATTCTAAACATTTGACAGTAACAGACAAATGTTCCAAGTGCAAAATAATATACATTATCATATATTAATATAAAAGCCTAGAGTACAGGCATTATACTTTCTCCTCTCTATGAAGATTATTAGTGGCTTCTATTCTATAAAACATGAAAGTGAAAATAACCTTTGTCTCTTAGCTTATTTCGACACTGTCAATTAGTACTTTAAAAATAACATTTTCTAAAAGCAATGTATGTTTCACTGAACAAAAATTTAAGAAATATGGGCAAGGAAAGACAAAAAAATCTCACAATTCTACCATCCAAAGGTAACCAATGCTAATATCCTGGTATAAAATATACAGGCACCATCTATAAAATACACGCTTGCAGAATGGAGAACTGATATATTCTGCTGTATAATCTTTTTCTTACTTAACATATTTGAACTTTTCCCAAATTATTAAATAGCCGTCTACAATGAATCATAATTTTTCTCTACTACTTTAAGTATAATAGTAAAAAAAAAATCTGTTAGAAAATCATTAGTGACCACCAGCATGTGAGCTGATGGTTGTTATCAGACTTTTATCCCTACTACTTGAAAGCTGGTTTAAGAGCAAGGCCCCTCTTAACACCAGCTAATTTCCCCTTCAAAATAAAAGGCATGGCATTTCTGAAAGGCTTCTGATCCCAGAGTTAAATATTCTGCTAACATAAAGTAAAATTCATTACAGATATTACCATTCCCTTCAGGCTCTTCTGGGTTGTTTTCTAGCTTGTCTTAGAAAAATAAGAAAGTACATTAAGGTGTGGCTTTGTTCTGTGACTTGTTGGCTTGGTCCCATTTGTGTGTTTTAGTATTGAAATTGTCTTAAAACTGTAGAGCACCCAGATAGATGTCATTCTGATGGGCGCTATATAAACTGTGAAATAAATATATTTAGAAGTTCTAATTGGAAGGCAAAACAAACTAAAATGAAAGGAAAAATAATGATGCTGTAGTTGTTATATACACATGTTGTTTAACACAGGTTTGGAACCTGCTTTATAAGGTGCACTTTAAATTACAGGCTGTAAAGTAAGATTAAAAAATACAAACTGGACTGGTATTAAAAAACCACATTATTAATATTGATTACAGTCGATTTTTAAGGTTAAAAAGCAGTGCTTTAATTTTAAAAAAGAAATCTGCAACAGGTGGTGAGTGAGTTGCAATTAGTAAAAACTTCTGGCAGAAACATACCATGTAGTAATCACAATGATCTTGGCTTGTGAGATGCTACTTAACCTTTTGCAAAAAATAATGAAGCAGTATGATGCTACTGGAGTTTATAAAAAAAGGTCATTATCACAGGCTAAACAGGTCCAATAATATACTCTCTTGGAACATGCAAGTACGGGCTTGTCTGTACCCAGTCAAAACCACTGGTAGCTTATTTCATACTCATTATACTTTGCAGTTTTCCTTGACTTGCAATTTTTTTTTTTTTTTTTTTCAAATCACACCTCAATCCTTTAAAACAAAACACTTCACTTTGATGAAGATTTCGGAAGAGTGACTGCCGCAAAATTAAGCATTTAAAAGTATAAAGTTATCAAAGTGTAACTAAGGCTTAACCATGGTTAACTGTCAAAGCCATAACTCCCCAAAGACAACCTCATGACAGAGCAAGGTTTCAGAAGGGAGCAGCAATAACTACTAAAATGTCTTTGTTTTATGTATTCTACTTAACCAAACGTGGTATTTCTGCCCATTTAATTAATCTTTAGAGAAGTAATTAACTAGATAGCCACAGACTGTGGTGCATTTAAAAACACATTTAAAATAATTTTTGCAGACAATACAGATTTGTATAAAAACAACATGGCATGTGAATGATACAAAGAAAACAATCACTCAAGAGGATATTAAGTGTCTGAATATCGGTAACTGCAATTAATGGTAACTGATTATCACAATAAAAAACAAGATATAAACTCTCATCACAAGTAACACATGGAGGTCTTTTATAGGGTTTATTTTAAAGGTGGGTTTTTTAAAAAAGAAAATTTTAAGTATATTTAAGAATTATTTCTAGGGATATCTTAAAATATACAGCAATTTCTCCATTGTTTTCTGCTATGAAAAATACCTACTAATCAAGCAATGATAATAGTTATGTCCTTCACCTGAAACTCCTATTGGTCCTTCTCTATAATGTTAACCATGCAAAGCCAGAATGCTTTCAAGATGAAGGATCTACTATGCTCCCAAAAAGGGTGTCCTCAAATATGATAGGAAAATTTAAAGACCCCATTAAAAATTGACTCACACATGAGCAAATCTAACTTTTACAGTATTTCTACAATTCTCTTTTAAAACAAAATAAAAATTAATGTGCAAGCAAATTAAAATACTAAGAATTAGAACTTAAAAAGACTACTTATAGCAGGCTTTTAAAATGTAAAACAGAGTTTTAACACATTATCAAATATAGGCAATACCTGGATAGATGGCTTGTTTAAGTGACCCAGATTTGAAGTTGTTTGTCTTGGTTCATGTCCTAAGACCATCATATTAGCATTGATCAATCTGAAGGCATCAATAACAACCTGTAAAAACAAGGTGTCAAGTCAATTCTTTTTTTAAAAGCAAGTGATAATGCCAAGCAACAGTGGACAAGGCATGATCAACGTGCATCTGTTTCTGGACTATATCCAGAAAATCATTTAATTATAATATTAATAAAAAAGAACCTCCTGCTGACTGTGCCATCAGCACACCACCCTCTATCTTGTAATGTAAGGTGACACCAATTATTGCAATTTTCATGAAACAGTAAAGAAAAAAATTAACTTTGCATCTTTATTATTGAAATATGTCATTACTAAACTTACACCAAACAGCCTTCACTGGTGTGCATATGTTTGTCACCTAAATTTTACCTAATCAAAATGAATGACAGAGAAACTAAAACTGAAAGTGAGCACAAGTTAAGGGACCACATCTAAAGCCCAGCCCTGTCACATCAATTACACCACCACAGTACTTGAAATGACAACAAAATTACAGCCAGCAAGGCACTTGCCCACGTATTCTCTTCTAGTCAGATACCTTTTACTTCTTGTGACTATGAAAGACTTTATACCTTGTCTGATGGCCTTAAATGTCCAAGCCACTGTCAAGTATAGAAGGCACAATATAAGAAAACCAAGGTCATCCATGCTTTAAGCCAAGAACATGGTATGGAATGATAAGGTCCTAAATTCATGGTAAAGAAATTATAATAGGTATATTCTTTTTGTGTGTACAGAAATACTTCAAATTCTTCTATGATACAATAACATCTGTTAGCTCTTACATATAAAGAGATTGACAAGAATCACATACTTGCTAAAGCTTTTCAACACTGTAAAGTTTTACGTAAAGTCATGTGACTTTAAGACAGATTGCCACTTTAAGGGAATTTAACTCAATAGATTTATCACATAAAACAATCAAAGCAAGATAGTATAGTAGCAGAGTATTTCTATATTTTGCCTTTAAAAGTGCTGAACAATCAATGTTTTAAAAGCTGTGTCAACTAGATTTGTTCTTATGTGTACAATTATTACTTGAGGATATTAAGAGATTAAAAATACTTAAGCCAACCAAATCTAATCAAGTCTGAAAATTCTGTTTGTAATAAGTATTACTGCATGCTGTATGCTAAAGAACAAGATTTAAAGAAAGAAATCACCCTTTGTAAAAGATTGCTATGATGGGTCCAAAGACAATAACAAAAAATACAAACCTAGACTAAAACATGATGGCAAGTGAATCAATCCAAGTTTCTGTCTACTCATTTGGCCTACAATATCAACTCTGAATTTTACTTTTATTTTGAACAGTTAACATTTTTCCAAAGATTCATTCCTCTTGCATCAAAATAAAGCCAAGTATCCCAAGAACATGAATGATTTAATGGTTTGTGAAAACTTTTTTCTTTTTATACAATAACCTCAATCCACACTTAACTTTCAGGTTTATATATAAATAAATACGGCCTACATTGCTTATACTTAAAATTTTTTTCTAAACATATTCTCTTTTTTAAAAAAAGCAATAAAAACAAGTACTAATATCAGACATATTTTAATCAGATGTTATCATAAATAACTTCAAACAATTGTTAAAAATACAGAAGTAAAATTTTCTCACATTCATACTAAATAAGATAAAGTTAAAATGTTGGCAAAGGAGGAAGAAGGTGACCATTTTCAAAGATAGGTATATAACTTAAACACAAAATTAAGAATTGCCACCCTAACTATTAATGGTAAATATTTAAGAGCAAAGCATCATTTTGGTCCATTTCAAGATTTCAGTAAAATCATTTATGAGGGGGAGAAAAAGCTGCTACAAAACTATGAAAATTTCATTATATAGCACAACAAAATTCCTGTATACTTTTTTATAGTGAATGCTTTCAAACTAAAACGGCAGACAGCTATTTTACTTGTAGAAGTCTGTATTATTTCTCTGAAATATTATAAGCAGGTGTGAAACTTCATAAAAAGGAAATGAAAATACCAGTTAAGTAGGTATCATGATCTGTTAAAAACAAATTTTTTAAATTTTCTTAAGAAATTAAGAGAAAAATTCAAGAAGTTAATAAAATGACATGCTTTCATTGACAATTCCTAAGTATCAATGATGGCCTATAGAAAATGACTACTTTACACTAAGATTAAAGGAATTTGCTGCCATCACTATAGCAACTGTCTTAAGGAAACTAACATGTTCAACAACCTGCAGACCAAAATTAGATTTAGTATGCAATAAAATATAAACATGGCAATATAGTCTACATTTTAATTTTTGTATAATTTTATCATTGCTTTTTGCGCTGTGAAAATAAGTGGATTTATCCCTGAGAGCAACCTATCAAAATAGACTCATTAATGTCCAGTGCACTAATGAGCAACGGGTGAAGAAGGTGTTAATTATGCCACAGTAAGATTTAAAAAAAAAAAAAAAAAGCCCTAGTGAGCACTCGATGGTGTGTATAAGCTGAAAACGTTTCTCCATGTTTATGTATTTACAGCATGATGCAACAGAATGACAGCAAAATGATCACTCCATGGTTAAGAACAGAAATCTTAGATACAACACACTGAACAAAGAACCCCCAAGAATTAATTAAGGTATGGGTGGGTAGGGGAAATAATCCATTTTTTTGAGCTCTCTGAGTTTTCTAAACAGTTCATTTTGAAGTATATAGACATTAAATTAGTTCAGTTTGTATCTTATAAACTAAAGCAGTAATTAACCAAAAAACTTTACACAAAAAGTATCTCCTTAATATATAATAACAAAAACCTCTGAGTAAAGTATGAAGAATATTTTCAGGAATATGATGCTAGACTTTGAAAAATTCCTTTCCATACTGAAGGCCTACACACCACATTGAGTCTCTATTCACCAGCCTGACCATTTAATTTTTTCTGGTACAAGTGCCTTGAGACTTTTCAGAGGTCACTGCAACAGTAGACAGCTTATAACAAAACCATTAGCAGTTTGGCTAGCTTAGGGAAACCTCTTACTTTCCTTTTTTGTTTATTATCACTGCATGAATCTGCAGCATATGATAGTTTATAATTTCTCAGGCTTGTTAAATTCATGTTAAAGGTCTGTTTTCTTGTTGAATAAATTTTGTTCATATAATGCTGCCTATTTCATACACTCAGTCTTTAATAGCACCTTTGGTCTATGCGCAACTCACAGATCAAAACAGAGGACTAAAATAGGGGTTGATGATGCTATTTACATGTGTGATTCCTGCTGTCTTCTTGTTAGTAGCTTTAATATAATAGAAGACCTTGTCTGTTTTGTAATTAACACATCTTTACTGGAGAGATATTTGGAAGTGATTGCTGTGAATATACTGGTTAGTAAAATAAACACAATCACACACCACTTTCTGTTATCAGACAAATTTGTGAATTGTACACATTATACTCCAGATCAACAAACTGTGATATAACAGCCAAGTAGAAGACACATATTTATATAACCCTTTATTTTTCTGAAAATATGTATTCACTCTGACCTTGCAAATATAATTAGCTTGTGGGATGTGCAGATTTCAGTACCATGGTTGCTTTACTAATTGCAACTCTTGGAAATAGATACTAAATATTTGGAAGCTGCCAATACAAAATAAAAACTGCATGTTTTTTGTACATCTGTCTTAGATTATAAAAGCAAAATAGTTTTAAAAACAATACTGAGTTCCGTATTTATTCCAAGCATGCCCAAGGGTCAAGGATCTATCATTTCGTTTTAATGACGAATCTGGTTTATGACTTAAAACTCAGTCTAATCCATAATTTTTTGGCTTCTTTCATGAGTAGAATACAGTTCATCCAATATGCTATTTATTTTAAAATTCGTGTTTTCACATCAACTGCTAGGTCACTGAAAGACTAGACTAAATTTCTAAAGCACCAATCTATAGTTCCCAATTTTTACATCCAAAGGAAGCTATTTTTAAGCAAAGCTCTTCAAATTAGTTTAATACAAAGGTGTTTTAAAGAAAAATAAACAAACACTTCTGGCAGTAGCTGTAATTTTTTTCTCTCTCTCTCTTTTCAGTAGTTGCCTTTGGTCCAGTTGTACTTATATCACAGTCAATGATTATGGGTATTTACAGAGTAGAACTAATGTTTTAAGAATTTATAATGCATTCATTTTCTTGAGCTTAAAAATGAAACAATCAGAATCTTCCATAACCTCAGGTCAGCTCACTATATATAAAATATATATTATATATGTATGCTTATATATTATATATAATAAAAATTATTCATCATATATAGATGAACTGTAACTTGTATATATGCAATGAACTGAAATAATTTTTAAAAACTTGAAAAAAATTTTAAGACCTCAAAATCAATGTCAAACACTAAAAAGAAAGTAAAAATTCAGTTACTAGTTAGATTACATATTTTAAAACATAAAACCATCACTATGTAAAGTAAATCTCTAAATGATTATAAAAATGAAAGGTGTGGAAAGAGAGGCAACCCATATCAAATACTCTTTATCACCTAGAAATGACCTGTTATCAACTGCTTAGGTTGTTTCTAGATTCTTTAAAAATTAAGAGTGCATGTGACCTGGGAAGTACTGCTGGGGTTTGTGACCATTTCGTTACTTCTGCTGCCATGCACTGCCAGACATCTATAAGAGAAAAACATCTTATGTCTCTTGTAAGCCCACAGCATAAAAAATTCAGAGAAATCTTACTTTTTATGCCATTTCCAATGAAAAGCACTAAGAACTAAAACTGACTCATGCCAAATGCATATCACTGAATTGCTGTGATTTCTTAGTCTCAAGTTTGCAACACGGAAATTATTTATAAAATGTCAATTTTAGCTCTGGAAAAGAAATTCCTATGTGTATGTACATTTTCTTTCTTCATCCTCGGAGAATTGCTTACTGTAGCTAGAGATCTGTAGTACAACTTCAGTATATTGGGAGAAAAGGGGGATGGGGTGTAACTTGCATAATTTACTTTTTTTGACAAGTGAAGACATGCATCAAAATTCAAAGAGTAAATCCA